ATTTTTAACTTTTTTTTTTTTTTTTTTTTTTTTTGTCTTTTGTCTTTTTCCGTGTCTGGCAACGGATCGCAACCCTCAGTGTTGCCCCCGTACCGGACCGGGGACCGGCAACGGGATTGCAACCCTCGGTGTTGCTCCCGCGCCTCGCTCAGCCAGTGAGCGGGAACCGGTCTGTATGTGGGATCTGAACCCTCGGGCAGGAGCGCCGCCGCGCTTCCCAAGCGGCGCACTTATCCAGTGCGCCACCGGGCCGGCCCAAAGATGTTCAACTTTCAAAAAGAACTTAGAGAAATAGAAAAAAGTCAGGACTTGCTGGGCTTGAAATAAAACTATTTTTCAACACAACTTTTTTTCCACAATATATGTTCAAAGTAAGAAATGTTTTTGTGGGAAGAATCAAACAGAGTTTTTTTGTGAAATATATAAAAGATCAAAAATATTTTCAGCATTCCAAGGACCTCAGGGTGTGGCACATATAGAGTGCCTGGTAAACAACAGGGAGTCTAAGGGCACAGCTGCCTGGAAAAGAGAAGGAGGCCAGAGGCAAAGGGCCTGCCTAAGAGTGTGTGGGGTAGGTTTGGTCTAATGGGTTTTAGTACACAGGAAGCCCATGCTTTTTAAAGCAGTGATTACATCGAACCATTTCTAACCCTAACCCTAACCCTAACCCAAAAGGCCAGAGTTGGATGAAAATGAAAAAGGAGTCCACTAGATCCCTGACTGACTATAGACAAGAAATAGAAAAAAAGAAGTCGGTCAACTGCTAACTCAGGCATTTAAGGAAAAATTTATTGACAGAGAATGGAGAGAACCCAGAGGGCAGAGTGAAGAGGCAGGAGGCATCTCTTCCAGCGACCAAGACTGGGCCCTAATCAAAGAACTGGAGCAGGTCCTCAGTGTGAATGACTAACTGCTCAGACCGGTGCCTGCAGGTGCGTCCCCTTCCCACCACCCCTGTCTGAAGGAAAGTGTCCACGTGTTCATACCGGTGTCCTCTCTGTGTGCTGGTCATGTGGGGAGGGGCAGATGACAAGCAACTGGACCTGGTTTAATTGAGCTTTTGGACCGTTCTATATTAGTAAAATATTTCTGGGACTCTTGAGAGGGGTAAAGTATATTTTGCATGTGGTGGAAAATTGAGGCAAACTGGTTTTAAATTTTTGAGCTTAAGGTATCCTTTGATAGCTACAAATAAGCATTCAACAGAGACTTCAGCCCATGGTCAAAAGGCTGGAAAAGAGGTATAAGCTAAAAAGAAACAGTTGTGAAAACTACAGGGGACAAAATCATTCAAGAAGTATTGCAGAAATAGAAGACTAACACCCAAGATGGAGCACTTGGATGGAGCTATGTAACAAAGAGAAAGTCAAAGAATTCAGAAAAAAAAAGAAGAAACTATTGGTGAGGTCATGATAGAAAGTAACAAGCATTTCTAGGAGAAGATCATGTACTGTGCTGCATACCTGTGAGTACAAATCAACTGAGAGAACTGTATGAAAAGTTATTTAAGAGAGTCAACTCAAGAGATGGTCCAGGTTTTGTCCATGAATCAAGTAAGGCCTTCTAAAAGCTGTCTAGGACCACACTATTTTAGAAATTCCAGAAAAACCTTATTAAAAGAGTTGTGCTTTAGCACTAGGTAACTGTTTTCAGTGAAGATAATTAAGTGTTTATTTACAAATTGATGGTCAAACAAAGAAACAAAAACTTTCTACTATATCATCTATATGACCAGTGAAGGTGGTCTGTTGGGCTTTGGTATCAGCAAGACTTGGTATCCCATAAAAAATTTAGCATACTGTCCTCTCAAATTTCATTCCAATCATAAAACAAATGAACTGCCATTTTGTCACTGATAGAGTTTGGACATGTTGTCCCCCACAAACCCATGAGGAAATCTGATCACAGATGTGGCAGTGTTGGGAGCTGTTTGAGTCATTGGGGTGGGTCCCTCATGAACGGATTAATGCTCTCCCTGGGGGGTGAGGGTAGTGAGTGAGTTCTTGCTCTATTCCTGCAAGAGCTGGTTGTTTAAAAAGACCCTGGCACCTCCTCTCTCTGCTTCCACCATCTTGCAATGTCAGACCTCTGGGTCACTGTTGCCATCATTAATAACCTCATCAGACATATTCCCTGCGCTTTAGACCTCCTAGCCTCCGAAACTATAAGCAAATAAATTTCATTTTTCTTTATAAATCTCCCAGTTTCAGGTATTTTGTTATAAGCAACAGAAATGGACTAAAACAGTCACGACATCAGAAAGATGAGACAAATTTGTACTCGGACTACTCAGTTCTTACAGCCTGCTGTAGCTACATGCCCACTTTATCTTATATACCTACATTTCCTTCAAGTTGAGTTTTACTTATTTATACTTTTCTATTTTAACTCATGGACCTCACAAAGCTCATAAAATACAATGTAAAACAAAGTAAAGAATAAACAAACAACTCACCCAAGATTTATTCATATTTTGTTGCTGTTGAAATGCATACAAAACTCTGGCAGCAGAACTGAAAGAGAGGAAAATGGAGTGAATTAAGGAGAGAACTGGTGTGACTTAATCCTAGATTCTCCTCACCAAAACCCAAAGCACATTAGCTGGCAAAGGAAAAAAAAAGGTTCTCTAGGGCCGGCCCGGTGGTGCACTGGATAGTGCGCCGCTTGGGAAGCGTGGCGGCGCTCCCGTCCGAGGGTTCGGATCCCACATACAGACCGGCTCCCGCTCACTGGCTGAGCGAGGCGCGGGGGCAACACCGAGGCTTGCGATCCCGTTGCCGGTCCCCGGTCCGGTACGGGGGCAACACTGAGGGTTGCGATCCGTTGCCGGACACGGAAAAAAGACAAAAAGACAAAAAAAAAAAAAAAAAAAAAAAAAAAAAAAAAAAAAAAAGGTTCTCTAAAAGAGAACAGACTTTTATGCCTCATAATGAGGCAACAAACACCCCATTTAAGATGCATCTACAAATACATAAATTGGCAGAAATCCGACAATTTAATTTTGGGTTAATGAATGATCACAGATCAGGACTGGCCCAGATGAGCTTTGGTTTATGTGGATGACATCTACTGATATGTACTCCCCTCACAACTAAAACAGAGGCTTTATAACAAATATTTATTAATACATTCTGAAATATTAATATTAATAAATCCATTACTGTTGATAAAAACATTTTTATAAAAATAACTTTGCTTTCCAAAAAACACAGCTCAGCAAGGACAGTGGCACTGCCCTGCACTTGTGTCAGTCTCCAGTCAGGCTCTAGGGATGGCTGCTTCTCGTTCTGTTCTGGTGAGAGCTGCGGCAGCACACTGTTCTGGGCATATGAAGAAATCCGGCCCACACAGGCATGCAGTTGGCAGAATAAAGACTTGGGGGACCCCTGAAAGGAACTCAGAAATGTCCTGGGTCCCTCAGACCTCACATCCCAGGTACCTGCCCAAAGCTGCCACCGGGCCTCCCTCCAGTTTCTTGATGCTTCGGGGGAGTGGGAGGTTGCGGGAGAGGAAACTGGGTATTGGTGGAAGAGAGGAGACCAGGGATGCCTGCTGGCCTGCAGGAGAGTAGGCCCTGAAGGGCGGGTGGGGCTCAAGGAGCTCAGTGGTCCCTAGTGAGGCTCAGGGGACATATGAGAGGCAGGTCCAGGAGTGTTGGCTCACTCCACATGCCAGGACCTCATCGGGGAAATCCTCTGACACATGAAGAAAACACAACTAGAGGAAATAGAAACCATCCAGAGAAGAAAAGTTTACAAAGTAACAGGATAACAGCTGACACTTCCATAAAACTTAGCCAGTGCTGATGCCCCCTAAGTGCTTTACTAATAAGCTCACAGGTTCATCCTCACAACTGCCCTGTAAGGCGGGGGGCCATTATTATCTTACCTTGCAGAAGAGGAATCTGAGGCAGGTGGAGGCAAGAGAGGTGAGGTAATCTGCCCAAGATCACACAGCTGGTAACCGGCAGAGAAGGGTTTCCGACTCAGGCACACAGAAACACATACAGAAATTAATAGACTTCACATACATAAATAAATAGAAGATAAAATGGAAGAGAAAACACCATTTACAATATCAACAGGGAAGACAGTACACCTAGGAATACATTTAACATGAAACGGGAAAATCTCTAAGTGCAAACTTTGAAACACTCCAGAAAGTGTTTTACGGTTCACAAAAGAAGAACTGGTCAAATTGAAAAACATCCCCTGTTCTTGGATAGGAGGACTCTCTATATTACAAAGATGTCAGCTCTCCCATCCCAATAAAAATACCAATGAGTATTTTTATGGAGCTAGACAAGTTGGTAGGGAAGCTCATGTGGGAAAATAAACAGAAGAGTATATCTGAGAAAACACTAAACAAACAAACAAATAAAAAAGGACTAGTACTAGTGGACTTCTAAAAATCCTAGAGAAGAAAGTACTGATACATGGAACAATACGGATGAATCTTGACAACATTACCCTAAGTGAAAGAAGCCAGACTTGAAAGACCACACATGTTGTATATGATTCCACTGATATGAAACATCAAGAATATGCAAATGCACAGAAACAGAAGGACAGGTGGTTGCCAGGGGCTGGGGACAGGGAGGACAGGAAGGGACTGCTAATGGGTATGAGGTTTCCTTTTAGGTTGATGAAAATGTTCTAGAATTTGCCAGGGGTGATGGATGTACAACTCTGAATAGACTAAAAACCACCGAATTGTATACTTCAAATGATTGAATTTCAGGGTATGTGAATTATATCACAACAAAACTATTATGAAAAATGCTAGAAAGCCTCTATAAGATACCTTGTATGAAAACATAAATAGCCCAACAGAATAAGGAAGAAAGTCTAAAACTAAACCCATGCACATATAGAAATTTAGCATATGATAAATGCAGCATCATAAATCAAAGAAGGACTTCTTTCTAAATGAAAATAAACAAGGACTTCTTACTAAATGGTGCTGGGACATCTAGTTAGCCATTTGGGGGAAAAATGGTACATGCTCCACATAATAAAAAGCATATACTCCAAATGGATCATGGCCATCAATGTGAAAGATAAAACAGTGAAGGTATGTGCAAAAAAAAAAAAAAAAAAGTGAATTCCTTTTTAACCTTTGTGAGTCCCAGGTAGGACTCAAAATCAAGACGCTATGAAAGGAGACTGACACATGTGAAGACATTTAAAAAAAGAAACAAAAATTTGCATGACCAAAAACACCATAAGCAAAGTAAAAGGATAACTGATCAGCTGAGAGAAAATATTTGCCACATGTGTCACTGATAAAGGGCTAATAAGATCTCTGTATTAGTCCCTTCTCTGTTGCTTAACAGTACCTGAAACTGAGTAATTTGTGAAGGAACAAAATTTATTTCTCACAGTTTTGGAGGCTGGGAAGTCCAGGGTGCACATCTGGTGAGGGCCTTTTTCTGGGTGGGAACTCTCTACAGGGTCCTGTGGCAAACGGTATCACATGACAGGAAAGGAAAAAGCAAGAGCTCTCCTATGTGTTCCCCTTATAAAGCCACCAGTCCGCACCCACGCTAACTCACTGCCATCCACCCACCACTCCATGAATGGATTAATTAATTCCCAAGGGCCCCACAACTCAAACACCAGTCAAAGGCCTCACCTTTCAAATACCATAATCAAATTTCCTACCTTCTTAACACTGTCACAGTGAGGAACAAATTTCCAATACATAAACTTTTGGGGGACACATGTGATTCATAGCAATCCCTAATATACAGAGAGCTCAGAAAAACTGCAGGGAAACAGGGAAAAAAAAAAAAAAAAAACCACCCAGAAGATTCACTCCCACACACAATATAAAACTGGTGCTTAAACATATGAAAAGACGTTCAAGCTCATTTATAACTAGAGAAATGCAATTTACAGTGACAATGAGAGTCCCCTTCTGCCTATAATGTAGGAAGCTAGAAAGAGTGTTGCCCTAACATACCAATAAGAAAAAACTACAAGTACTGGCACATCACCAAAAAAATAGAAAAAAAAAGAAAAAAGCTACAAAACTACAAAATCATCATTTTCTTGGACTCATCAGAAAGCTGAGGTCTCAGGGCAACTGAGTAGTCTGAAACCTAAAGAAAGACCATCCAAGGAGACACAAGATGAAGCACTGGTTGCAGGCAGCAGAGAAAGCTGCACAGGCAGGAAAGAAGAATTCAGCTTTGCCCATGAAGACAGGGATGTGCACCCAGGGCCTGGCCCACACTGGGCCCACACAGCAGCTGAGAAGTGACTGTGGAGCAGGGTAGGTGGCAGGTGAGGACACCCATAGCACAAGGCGGTCAGGAAGACAGCAGGCATGTCCCTAAGTCTCTCCAGGGAAGAGGAAGCGGGGCTGGCAGAGGTGAGGGTGGGCCCTGGCAGGATGGGCCCTGGGGCTGGGAGCCAGCTTCCTTGAGACTTGGCAGGGATCCACTGGACCCAAGTGCTCAGCCCACTGGGCAGCTTTTGGTGCAGCTTCTGGTGAAGTTCACCATCCAATTTGTCACAGCACATGTGGCACGGTCTCTCACCGCCCTGACCCTTAAGTTAGCAAATCAACTTAATCAATAAAAAAATACAATCATGCTCATGAATCCTGCCCAACCTCACTGCACAGAGACAGCCAGTCTGGCAGCTGAGGACCAAGAGACACGGTGTCCTAAAAGCAGGAAGCTGCTTCCTCACCTAGGTACCCCTCGTTCCTACTCAGCACCCAGCATCCAGCCAGGCCCAGGCTTTAAATAATAGAGATCTGTGGACATGTGGAGGATGGGAGGAGAGAGGAAGGGAAAGATCTGGGCCTGGAGAACCCAAAACCAGGAGGGTGCGAGCAGGAGGAGGCCAGGCCTCCCAGCTCTAGGCTGCCCCACCAGGCCCGCGTGTGTAACAAAGGTCCCTGTGCAGAAGGCTGCATGGGGGGCTGTTAGAAACATGTGCAGACATCATCCCAGCAGTCAAGGAGACTGGGGACTACAGAGGGGGTCTGGGTCTGAATCCCCACTCTACTTTGACCCGTGTGTGACCTTGAGAAAGTCTCTCATGTCCCCAAGTCTTTTCACACACTCAAAAGTGAGGGAGCAATGTGTGCCTGGCAGGGCTATTGGAGGAGTAGGTGGAAAGGACCAGGACATGCCTCATGCAGTAGACACAGCACATCTTGTTTTCCTGTTTCCTTCTAAGAGAACCATGGGAACTGCAAGGGTGACACTGGCACCCAATGGGCTCTGACATGCTCTGAGTATCTGTGTCCCCCGAAAATTCACATGTTGAAACTCTTAAGCCCCAAGCGTTTGGGAGGTGACCAGGTCATGAGGGCAGAGCCCTCACAGCGGGATTAGTGCCCTTGTGAATGAGGCCCCACGGAGCTGGCTGGCCCTCTTCCTGCCAAGTGAGGACATGACATACAGGAAGCAGTCTGCAACTGGAGAGGGCCCTCAACAGAACCATCCCTGCTGGCACCCTGATCTTGGACTGAGGCCTCCAGGACCTGGCCGACCAGTGAGAGCCAAACAAGGAGGGAGGGAAGCAGGCCTGAGGTTACATGGGAAGTAGACACAGCTGCCACCCAGATGCACCTGTCCCTGCCCCCTGTCCTGTCCCTCTGCTGTACTGTATGGCATTTCCCCACACCCACATTGCCCCTTGTCAACTGCAGGAAGTGGCAGCGTCCTCAGATGTGCTGCTCTGAGAGCTCCTTCACTCATCTCCTCAGCACACGTCTATCATCCCACGTGCCCAGAAACAAATGAATGATTTGGAAAATAATGCATGTCAGTTCCCTGCAGGAAGTGGCAGCGTCCTCAGATGTGCTGCTCTGAGAGCTCCTTCACTCATCTCCTCAGCACAGTCTATCATCCCACGTGCCCAGAAACAAATGAATGATTTGGAAAATAATGCATGTCAGTTCCTCAGCTCACAGCTAAACCAAAATAGATTCCAGATGGTTTAAAGGATTAAAAAGTTTAAAAATAAATACAATATAAAACATTAAAACAACCCAAAAGAAAACATCTACCAAACACAAAAGCAATGTTATATTTACACAGGAAAAGAGACCTGGCAGCATAATTTTAAAAAGCTTCTGTAAATCAAAATGCAACAAAGGCAAAATGAAAAGGCCAAAGTTAAATTGAAAACATACTGGAACACATACGACAAAGGCTACTATCCTTAGTATGTAAGGCACTCCTACAAATTTATTTTTAAAAACAAACATAATTTTAAGTAAAGTGCAGATGTGAGCAGGAAAGGCACATGACCTGTCAGCAAGCGAGAAACAAACAGGAGAAACCACAGGAGCAGTTAGGAGCAGGAGATGCCAGGACCTGCCCGTGAGATTAGTGGAGCTGGACAACTGGGGACACATGGAGGGGACAGTGAAGTGGGGGACCCCAGCCTCAGATGCTGCTTTTGGGGGCACAAAGCAGCACAAGCCCCCGGGGAAAACAATCAGGCAGAGAAACCATTCCCCACCCCAAGAGTTCTGCTCCAAGGAGTCCAAACAGAAAGAAGCAGAAGCCAGAAGTGTTGTAAAATAAAGAACAGGATATCAGAAATGGCCAAGTCAACAAAAAGAAAAAAATAAATCATGTTACATATCTATACAATATGTAGCAACTTTAAATAGTGTCTACAAGCACATACAATGCTACCAGAAAGTGTGTCACAAAATTATCTCACGAGAAGCACCAGGAACTCATGTCCCTGGCCTGTGGGGTGTACAATGAAGCCACCACTCCAGAGAACTGTTGGGCAGTTTCCGATAAAGATGGAGTGACCCTGACCCTGACCGTGACCCAACCATCCCACCGCTTATGCACTTACCAAGAGAGCTGGAAACGCATGTCTCCAAGAGCCTTAAACCCCATGGTCACGGCAGCCTTGTCACAATCAGCCAACCTGAGACAGCATAGATCCAATCAACAGGAGAAAGGACAACTGTGGTCCAGACTGTTGCTGCAATACAACTCAGCCTCACAAAGGGAGAACATACCAATGCCACAACTACATGAAGGACTCACAAAAACACTGTGAAGCAAAAGAAGCCAGACCAAAAAGAGTCATACACTACAGAGCCATTTATGGGAAAATACAGAACAAGCAAAACTCACATGTGGTGATAGAACTCAGACAGGGGTTGGAGAGGAAGAGATGCGGAGGGGTGCAAGGGACATTCTGGGGGTCGAATATGGTGTGTACTGGTCATTACACAGGTGCGTACAGTTGTCAAAACTCATCATACTGAACACTTGAGATCTGTGCATCACATTGTGTGTTAATTATGTCACTATCAAAATGGTGCCACGCATAGAAAAAAGACTGGCAGGAAAAACATTACAATGCCAAGTGTGAAGTTCTGACAGACACTACAACAGGGACGAACCTTGAGCTCACTGTGCTCAGTGTAAGAAGCCAGTCACAAAGGACCACAGCTTGTCAGATGACATTTGTATGAAATGTTCAGAATCAGCAAATCCTTAGAGCCACAAAATAGAGGAGGGGTCACCAGGTAGGCAAGAGGCAGGAATGGGGGTGACTGCTGACAGGCTTGGGGTGATGGAAATGCTCTGGAATCAGAAGGGGTGATGGGTGCAAAACATCGTGAATGTACTAAAAAGCACTGACTTAGTCACTTCAAATATGTGAACTGTATGCTGTGTGAATTCTATCTCAAGCTGTGACAGAACTGCCCAGAGTGGCTGTGTCCATGGTAGAGTGGCAGGTTAGTGGAAGTCTTGGTCCCTCCTTCACCCCAGGCAGGTGATATGCCGCAGAACACCTCCTTCTCCTCCTCCGCACAGAGCACACAGTCACCCTTCCCCAGAAGGCCACTGTGAAGATGGAGCCTCACACCTCGGAGCGAGCATCACCATGCAACTAAGGCCACTCGTCCCAATCCCTTGGCCTGGCCCCAGGCTCAAATGCGCCCCCAGCTGCTCCTTCCCTGCCAGTGCATTACCCACATGGCACACTCCCGTCTGGAGACCTGTGGCAGGGAGGCAAGCAGCTCCAGGATTAATTAGCTAGTGTTTGCACAGGGTTCACAGAGGCATCAAGGAGCCTCCTGCAAGCTGAAACTCCCCAGGAACAGCAGAGGAGAGGACCCTGAGGCAGATGTGTGCAAGTCACAGTATGCCAGTGACACACACCAAACTGGGGTCTCTGCATGCTTCCACCACAGCCCATCCCCAGTTCACTCAGTCCAGGCCAACCCCAGGTCTCAAGTCGGCCCCTCCCTAGAGCTCCTCAACCAGATCATGTGCTCCTGGCTCAGCCCCCCGTCCCACAGCCTCCTGCCAGCAGGTGGCCCAGCCTCCTCAGGGGGAAACAGCAAGTGTGAAATGAGCTGCACAGCAAGGCTATAGGGAGAAGGTGACCAGGGGACAGGACAGGCTGCAGGGATGAAGACGCCACCCCAGCACCATCAGGTAGGAAGCTCCAGATCTTTGACAAGGTTCCCAAGGCCATTCAATGGGGAAAAGATCATCTTTTCACCAACTGGTACCAGAAAAACTGGACAGTCACATGCAAAAGAATGAAGTTGGACCCTTACCTTAAACCGTACACAAATATGAACACAAAATTTTTAAAGACTTAAATGTAAAACCTAAAATTACAAAACTCTTAAAAGAAAACATAGGAGAAAAGCTTTGTGACATTGAATTTAGCAATAATTTCTTACCTATGACAACAAAAATACAGACAATGAAAGAAAAAAATAGAAAATAGGGCTTTATTAAAATTAAAAACTTTTGTGCATCAACATACACACCATCAACAGAATGAAAATGCAATTCACAAATGGGAGAAAATGTATCAGTTAAGGGATTAATATGCGGAATATATTAAAAACAAACAAAAACTCCTACAACCAAGCAAGCAAACAAAATCCTGTTTAAAGATAAATGATAGAGATAAGAAAAGTGAACAGAATGAGGTAAAAAGAGAGAAACTAAATCACTTATAAAGGGAAAGCAAGCAGGCCTCAGATTGCTCCAAAGCAACATTCAAAGTCAGAAGACATGGAGTGACATCTACAAGATGGTCAGAGAATGACAGTCCTGACCAAGGACTCCGTCAACATTCAAGCTGTCCGGTAAGCCCCAAAGCCACAGTTTTGAACATCCAGCACTCAAGGCCACCGTTCCCATCAGGCATTCTGAGAAAACACCCCCAAGACAAACCTCATCTAATCAAGACTTGATGGAGGAAACACCATCAAAAGGGCTGTCAATGAGCATTGAATATATTTACCTGTAGATGTAAGACAGAAACCAATGTGGGCTGATGGCAACAGACCAGAACGCTGATAATATAATCCCCAACTATGGAGCAATGACTCAAATGACACAAACTGGGGACAGGGAGGGGGGACTTGAGAAAAGAAGATAATAAATAGAATAATTAGCTCATCCTCTTGTCAGTAAGAAATGCAGTCAATAGGTATCATTTAAAGCGGACATTTCAATAACAGAAATACAAGTAAATGTCAGAGTATATAGGCAAACATTAAGAAAGGTATTATTGTTAACTAAAACTAGGTGATGGGAAGAAGAAAACAAAACACATTAATTTTATAATTACTCACAAAAGGTGTCTTAGTTTCTTATTGCTGCCATAACAAATTACCACAAATTCAGCAGCTCAAAGCACAGAAATGTGCTCTCTCTCAGCTTCCATAAATCAGAAGTCCAGTTGGGCTGTGTTCATTCCTGGAGATGCTGGAAAAACAACTTGGGTTGCAGGAAAAGTCCAGGTCCTTGTGTCCTTGCTGCTGGTGGCGGGGGCTGAGGGTTTGCCCTTAGCCCCTAGACCCCTCTGCTTCAGTCCTTGCACTGGGACCTCTCTGACACCCCCTTCACCACATGTCTCTCACTTCTCACTGGAGAAAGTTCTTTGCTTTTCAAGGCTCAGCTAACTACATGGAGCCCAACCAGGTAACCCAGGATAGTCAATCCACCTTAAGGTCCATAACCTTAATCACATCTGCAACATCCCTTTCTACCAGGTAACATGACAGGTGCTAGGGCAATGTGTGGCTACCTGGGGGAAAGGTATGGATGGGGGTGGGGGGGAATGAGATTAGGCCCACCACAGAAAGTACTTAGTAAATGATCCCCATAGACAAACAGTGCTACAGACAGTATATGACATTATATGAGATGTTATTACAATATCTCATAGAGACAGAGGTATGGACTCTCCCAAACATCAGACAAACTACAGAAACTAAGACAAAAGCAAAGAAAACAGATCACAGAATAAAAAACTTAAAAAAATACAAACACAGAAGACAAAAGTAAGACCAAATATATGTGAACTATCAATAAATGTAAATTAGTTGAACTTACCTAGAGAAAGCAAAGAAAAAAAGATTCTCAGATTGAATCACAAAGGAAAACCCAACTTTATGTGGCATATAAGAAATACATTTAAAGTAATTCAGAAGGGTTAGAAATAAAAGAATGGGCAAAGGTATGCTGAGCAAATACAAACTCAAGAAAGCACTGCTCATGATTTTACAGTCACAAAAAGTAGGAATAAGAAAAAGTGTACTAATGGGTGCACTTCAGAAGAAAACATAATAATTATAAACAGCTATGCACCAGATAACATAACTGCCAACATCCACTGGAGCCACAAGGGGAAATGGACAGAAATATATCAATGGTAGAGACTAGTTCACTTCTCTTGGTCCACAACAGAGCAAGAGTACAAAAACTAAGTAAAGGTTATACATGACCTAAATAAGACAATTAAGGTGGTAACATTCATTGACATACACATCAAACCTCTGTAAACCCGAAATAGAAACTCAGTCTTCTTTTCAAGTCCCAGTGGAAGAGTGATGAAACCTGATTCTATATTAGGTCCACAAGAAAACTTCCTGAGACCCAAAAGTTCAAAAGAGGAGTCAGTATTCTCTCACCAAAATGCAACTCAAACTAAAATAATAATACAATCAATAAATCAAAAGACCCTCCACTTGGAAATTTTAAAACTTGCTCCTAAACAACTCCTGGACCAACAGGAAAATACAACCCAAAACTGCAGAACTTCCAGACAGCAAGGATAAAGAAAATCTGTTCTATCGGAACCTAAGCATCAGAACTTAAATATGAAATACTTTTTTGAAAGAATGTGAAGAAATGAAGCAAGCATACACATCACTTACAAAAAGAATGACAAGATAACCAGGAAAAATAGAAGGGGTTATTAACTATTAGCAAAAAAGCAATGAGTTAATAAGCAGAAAAATAGAACAATTAAAAGCTGAATCTTTGAAGAAAAATTAAAACAACAAAATGGAAACCATTAGCCACAGGATGCTGAATGTGTGCAGAGCCAGGCCAGTGGAGCAGAGGAGGGATAGAGGTGACCCAACTAAAGGTTGACCTCCTCCAGGAAGCCACCTCAGACTTGCCAGTTCCTACAGCCATCTACAATCACGACTGGACTCCTGACCCTGTGCTGCCCTGTGTCCACACACTTGCTGCGTCAGATTTCTATTGAGGACCTACGATAACCTATGAAAGTACCATTTCCACCAGCCAAAGAACTCCAGTTGTAACAGATTTCATCCGTATCTTTCAACCTAATAATGTGTCAACACTGGGCGTAGAGTAAGCAATAATCCCAATCACTGCTTCATAGACTCTACAAATAAAACGGAAAACCAGCAGATAAGTAGCAATGAAAAAACATGCAGTGCTGGGGAGAAAAGGAGAAAGAACCTGAGACAGGAAATACTGGGAGACAGTGATCAGGAGGGTGAGGCAGTGACAGTGAGCTCAGACCTGCGGGAGGATGGCCATCTGCTCCCCAGGCCAGCCTGCAGGTGAGAGATCAAGAGGTGCCCGGCGTGGCTAAAGTGGCCCCTGGCAGGAGGAGGGGGAGAAGCAGCAGGAGCCAGGCCCGTCTTGTTCCCCAGCCCATATCACAGAACTTTGTGATGACCACAAGGTTCCCCGTCTATACCGTCCAATACACCAGCCACCGGCC